TTGAAAGTCATGACATAACATGAACTACATGAAAAATATTATGTATACATATATCCCACTGTTAATGCAATAGTGTATTAATCGATGAAAAACGAATTACTCATTTCCGGTGAAAAAATTTTAAAATTTATGTATAGGTTAAAATTTTTACACAGACATGTTATCAATTTTCTACTTGCCAAATGTATTAGAAAATAAAATTTTGTCCAGAACTAGCTCACAAAAAGTTGGACTCATGTTGAGTTAAGAGGAGATCTTTTAATTGTTTCTTATTATATATCAACGACAGTCTTATTAACGTGTAGAATCCAAGAATCCAATTTTACATTCAGCAACGGCATAATCTTGGATTTTACATATATTGAATGGCAGTGCGATATGTGAAACTTTATAGCTCTCCTATGTAAGCACAAACAATCGACTGATTTCGTTCGCAGAAATGTTAAACCTCCCTCCTGAAGAGTTGCCAGTTTGCAATTGTGGCCTTATTGCACTAATGGTGCGAATCTATGTTTATTCAACAGAAGAGTGAGTTACCGTCGGCCACAATGTCGTTAACCAATCAGTCTCGGCCTAGTGTTCACTACTTAATTTCCGTGGCAATTTTTATTATTTAAGTATTCGATTTTTTATCTTAAAGTTTTTCTATCGATAAAAAGACGATAATATACCTACTTGAATATTTAAATAATAAAAATTTCCTCGGAAATTAGATAGTGAACACTAACTAGTCCGAGAATGACCGTAAACATCCGGTGAGTTTGAGGTCTATAATAATAACTTTTTATGAAAAAAACCAATCTCAAAATTTTGTGAAATCACATCATGAAAATATTGTATAGGTAATAAGAAATTTGGGAACTTTAATATACTAGGTATACAGAAAGCTTAAGCGCACTCCGAATATTGCATGTACACCTAGCGATAAGTTATCCCTTTGACATTTCAAAACGTCATTTCTCGGATTCGGAACGATACGAATAGGACGTATAAGCGCTTTCCCAAAGATCTGCTCGCCATGACCAAACCCCAAATGCTAGCCTCCTGGTCGGACCTATGACAGGAATCACGACAAACTGTTGGTAGACACTATGGTAACCTCCAACCAAATCTACCCACTAAACCCTGGTTTTTTAAACGTCGCGATTTGCCTAAAAACATCACTTCCACCATTATACGTTTGCGCTTTATTTTTGCGTAAAATCAGAGTCCGAGATCACTCTCTGTGCGAGTGCGGCTTAGAAGATGGTACCTTAGAACACATTTTTTTCAATTGCCCTAATATTGCTGTTCCACTTTATAACTTACTTCCTCCAAAATTCCCCCGCCCCATTAACATAACCTCTTAACTTTAGTGTTCTCCCCCCATATTGTTACTCTATGTAAATTTATCCACTTAAATAACATATATTTATAAATACATGTTTGTGTTGTCTTTCGTTTTAGATACTCAACTGAGTACTCCCGTGGACAACTCATCAACACCGGTTAATGTCCTATTAGAGATCAGCGTATTTTTTTTGTTTTGTTTTTTTTTTCTTTCAACCGTGACATTGGCAAAATCATCATTTCTCATAATGATGGAGCCATAAAAATAAAAAGTGAAGTGAAGTGAATAGGACGTAGTGCGTAAACATTCTAAGAGGTATTGAAACAAAAGTTGTAACGCTACACGTCAAGAACAAAACATATTATTATAATTATACACATACATATCATCAAGCCTATTTCCCTAACTCCACTAACTCTCCCTAACCTCCACTTGATACGCTCCTGAAAAACCTCCTTCGCCTCTTCCGCTCACATCAATCTCTTCATACATGCCCGTTTATTCCTGGTACTTTTAACGCAGCCTTTTTTAAGGACATCCTCAATCTGATTGAGATATATTCGCCGCGGTATACCTCTCCCCACGCTTCCATCCACGTTCGCCTTAAAATTTGTGCCGTCAATCTACCAACATTCATTCTTTCTACATGGCCAAACCATCAAAGCATTTTTTTCTCTATCCTTGTCACTACATAATCTTTCATACTACAACGCTCTCTTACTATACTATTCAGCATTCTATCTTTAAGAGTGATACTTCACATATAGCGCAAAACTCTCATTTCTACAGCATTCGCAGTAAACGAACACAGCGAAACCGGATAATCGAACTTTTGAGGTCGGTATTTTTATAGAACAATAAGTTTTACTGCGGTCTCTTCAACGATAACTGAAACGTATATGGAAGTCCTCGTCAAAACTAATCAAATGAGCTCAAACATAAGGTGGCAGCTTTTTTGTACAGACACGGTTAAGAAGTTCCTCTCACCTGTCTGCCATTTCCGTCCTCAGATCAGCTTTAAGTCACCATAACATTTTATTTTAATTGGAATTACATGTATCTATGTGTCAAGTTTTATTGAAATTGGTTAACGGTTTAGTAGCAGTAGAGGCCCTTGTGAATTCGTTCGTCCAGGGCAATAATGCCACTTTACCTACACTCGAGAGCAATGAATCCGGGTCACTAAAAGAATCCGAAAAATCTCGGACACTAAAAATGCTAGGTTAATGCAATAAATTGTATTTAATCATTGACTTACAATTATATGGACGTCGGGTCCGCGCTAAAAAGTGTCCGCACTTGTAAGGCGCTAAAATCGTATACAGAGCGCGACACTCCGCTTTAGTCTTCATTTGTTCTACGGACAGCGCGATACTGCGATGACATAACAATTTAAATTTCGAATAGATTGACTTGGGACATTTTTTTCGTGGTTTTTGTATTAGACCCGTCGTCCATTTATTTGTAAGTCAATGTATTTAATAGACAATTTAATACTCCTTAAATGAAGGTATTAAAACTTTTTAGTTATTGTAAAGTTATATCATAAAAAAATCAAATATGAAAAGGGAACACTTTCGAAGATGGAACTACGAAATTACAGCATTTGTTTTTGCTTTTGTTTGTAATCTGTCATTTATGTGGGTACATAAACCATGTTGATAGTGCTTAATATTCATTATTTAAGCTGAAATCATGTCGCTTACACTTGAAGAATGCACCAGAATACTTACATTGGTGGAAACTGGCCGGAGTCAGCGCGATACAGCCAGGACTGTCGGTGTGTCGCTGTCAACAGTACAAAGAGTTCTCCGACGTTACGAAGAAACTGGTTCTAACCTACGCAGACCAGGAACGGGCAGAACTAGGTGTACCACAGCACGAGAAGACCGATACTTGGTGACCACCATGCATCGAAATCGCTTTCCCACAGGAGCTGAACTCACAAATCAGTTTCGACGCCTCGGAGGAAGTAACCCAAGTGCATGGACAGTAAGACGTCGGCTTGCTGAATCTAACTTAAAACCCCTTAGACCTGCAAACGGCCCTAAACTGGAGCGTGGGCATCGTATTTCAAGACTAAGATATGCCCAGAACCACGTAAATTGGAGTATTGAAGATTGGTCGAAAGTTATGTTCTCCGACGAATCAAAATTTATTCTCTACAAGCACGATGGAAGACACAGAGTGTATAGAAGACCAGGGGAAAGATTCAAGCAAGCATGCATCGAAGAAAAAGTAGCCTACGGTGGTGGGTCTGTACTCGTGTGGGCCGGAATTTCTTCTGAAAGTCGCACAGAGCTGGTGATCATAGAAAACGGCTCTTTAACTAGCGAAAGATATGTAGATGCAATCCTCAATGAACACGTTGGTCCATTTATGGTCAATTTTGGTGAGGATGCTATATTTATGCATGACAATGCCCGACCTCATACAGGTAGGATTGTAAATGACTACCTTCAAGAGATGAACATTACTTGTATGGAGTGGCCAGCGCGCAGCCCGGACATCAACCCGATCGAGCATGCTTGGGACGAGCTAGGGAGATGCGTAAAACAACGAAACCCTCCCCCAATCACGCTTCGTGAGCTCTAAATTGCTCTCACAGAGGAATGGGAGGATATTCCCCAAAATCGTATAAGGAACTTGGTGTACAGCATGCCAAACCGCCTAAACGCAATAATGGAAGCACGAGGAGGCAATACGAAGTATTAAAATTCAAGAAAATCGTAATAAAGTTCAAAAATTTCATGTTTTCTATTTTTGTTTTAAGGAGATATCAGCAGTTTTTTTTCTTTATGTAATTTTGTGTAAATAAAATGTATGGTGACTCATATTTTTTTTACTTTCATTTAAGGAGTATTAAATTGTCTATTAAATACAATTTATTGCATTAACCTAGCATTCTTACTTTCCGAGATTTTTTGGATTCTTTAAGTGACCCGGATTCATTGCTCTCGAGTGTATTTCTGTCGCCAATCAGTAACGTGAGCATTACTGCGTTATGATTTGGGAGGGTAAGGGTGCTGATGAAATTACAGACTTACAAACACATGGGACTTGTCAACAACGGGCGCAGTGGCAGTGTTCCTAATATCTTTGTGATTTAAAGCTCTGATTGGCACTGTTACTGTTATGGACAGGCGTGTCGCTTAAAACGGAAAGTATTTGAAATCCTATAACCGGGATTCATCCCCTAATCGCCATTCTTAAAGGTGGAATAATTTCTCCAAATTTGAATGGGATCACTGCTGAATATCACGGAAATCGGTTCACAAATGTCGGAATATCCTCCTCCTTATTTTTGAAGTCGTTAAAAAACATCTCAACCATATCGTTCTGTGTGTATTGTGCATACTTCCTCATTGACTCATTGGTATCTTAAATGAAACAAATAATTTACTTTTTGTGTTAAGTAAATAAATAAAATACTCATCAACATGAATAGTACTACCGCACTATTCATGAAAGTAATTCTTGGAATCGTTCCTTCTGCGTGATTACTCTTATCGTAGGTTGGCGAATGATATTTATAAAAAGGTTGGGACTTCACAGTATCAGTGTACGTAGAACATCGTCGAACAACATACTCCTATTTATTATATATATGTGCAAACAGTGAATAGTAAATTTTTGACTCTTTAATAAATCGTATTGCACTCGGCAACAAAAGAAGCACCGTAATAGCAACTAATAGAAATAATAGCAGTTTTAAAATAACTTATTTACAGAAAATGGCAAAGCCAAAAGAAATAAAGTCTAGATTGAAGAAAGAAGGCGAATTCATCCCTCCCGACGGCGGCTGGGGTTGGATGATCGTGTTAGCTGCTGGTTTGTCAAATGTAAGTTTTATTTCTACATAATATCTATTCAAAATTGAACATTTTATTTTACTGGACCAAGGCGATCACTGAATGGTACTTGATAGGAGCTAGACGTCCTCGAGGCAGACCACCACCTGCTAGGTAGTCGGACGATTTCGTCGGGGTGGCAGGAAGACTGTGGAAGAGACTCGCACAGGACGGATTGAGCTGGTGTGCAAAAGAGGAAATGATGAAACTATCCTTAGAAAATATATAATATACCCGGTGAAATTTGTAGATAATTTGTAGCAGTTCAAGTACCTAAAACGCAAAAGACAGCAGATATGATTCAGACAGCGGTGCTACGATAAAACTCGCGATCATTTTTTGAGTTCTTTGTAAAGAGACATCACTTAGTAGGTTATCGTCTTTAGTCCTTGTGTTAGTAGACAAACGTAGATAAGCCCATTTGTGCCCATGTACCAGCATCGATATCTATCTGATAAATCGTTTGTTTGATTCTGTTCCCTTTGTCTGTCTAATAAACATTAAAAATTCCACCAAGTCTTGTCATACATATTTTTAATCGATTCTGACCCTCGGTTTATCAGGTCTATCTGCCCGAACAATCACTGACACAGAAAACTTATGATCTTGTATCCCACGGCAACATATTCGTAATATTAATATTCTCCCTTATCGCAACAGTGGCGTACCTAGCTAGTCAAAACCTCGGAGGAAAAGGGGCCTTAAGAATATGATTTTTTATTAAGTTTATTATTTAATAATGGAAATCAGTTAGCCGTGACCATGATACTTGTAAAGGGTCCGAATTGTTGGTTTGTTTGAAAACACAAGTACACGCGATTTATATCTTTAGCGAAAACTTAAGAACTCTTTATTTTGGTGTACAAGTTGAACAAAACAAATCCACATTCAATCATATGGTAAATACAAAATAAAATATTATTGAGCGCAGGTATCGTAAGACAAGAAAATGTAACAACTGAAATGTGAAAACTGGGATAGTCACAGCCTACAATAATTTGTAAAGACATACTTCGTTTGCCCGTAACAAACTCTACAAGCGACAGGAATTGACCCTTTACCTAATAATAATTTTTTCATGGAGATTGCCAAGTGTAAGAATAGGAATATGAATTGCCGAGCACAGCTTTGCCACTTTACGCGAATTCACCACTAGGCGGTGGTAGCCACTTTCCATCAAGTGGACCGTCTGACTTTTTGTATTCAATGAATAAATAACATTGAAACATTGACCGATTTCTACTTCCAGTTATCGGCGCTTCCAATGCTCCAACAATTTGGTCTGCTGTTTCGGGATAGACTGGCACAAGTGGGTGTCACCGGATCGGCTCTCACAACAATAATCAACATGAACTCCGCCCTGACGTCTTGCGTCGGTGCGTGACGCGCCTTGCATGGTAACTCCTTGATACCATACCGGCTCTTCTCCTTTTTTACTTTTACAGGATCAATTTTTACTCCCGGCTGGCCATCTGTCTGCCCTATCTACCGACCCAAGAGATAGGGAGTTCCGGGGAGACTACGGGCTCTCCGGTAAAACCAGGGTATTCTTGGACTCGCCGAGTCTTGTGGTTAGCTGTAGCCATGTGTGAATGGACACGTTCGTCTGTCCTGGTAGTATGTGGTCGGGACATTCATCTCGCGCGCAGATAGCGCATCTTCGTAACGGTCTATGAGGGCCTAAGTCGTGGAGACGCGCGGTGCACCAGGTAGCTCATCCAAGGCACTACTAGCCTTTTGAGAACCTAATGAAGTCGGTGCAAATGGGCTGATCTGGGGTCAGGACCCAACTGAGGTCCCTGTGCAGGCAGTGTTGCTTGCATTGGTTATAGTGCTCTTTTCGTATAACCCTATACCCTACTTATGTAGAAAATAATGACCATCTGTCGGCTGTATTATTTCAATTCGGCGACTTTGGGATAACTTCACTATTGCCGCTCTTCTGTCTTCTCTTTTGTAATGTACTCTTAGAGCTCACATGGACACTCAATTGCAAGATTATTTATTTAAATGTACTTATACTTTGCTTGTTAAACAAATTACAAAAACGTGTGCAAGAAAATCTTTACATTGCGTCTTTACTTGAAATAACTCACTTTTGAGTATGTATATACTATGTACTACTCGTATTATGTCTTCCCTGAACATTGTGAAACATTGCTTCTTGTTATTAATATACTACCTCTTTAAATTTCAGGACTAGCGAATGGTCCAGTATTTAAAACATTCAGTTACCGCGCTGTATCTTTGACGGGTGCCATTGTTGTGTTCATCTCATTACTACTCACGACTTTTTCCTACAATTTCGCTTCTTATTTGATGTCATTTTCAATTCTTTATGGTAAGTACGATTACTCTCACATTTCAAAACTATGAGTAAATATAAAACAATTGACGGCCTCCGTGGTCGAGTGGATCGCACACCAGTTTTTACGGAGTCGCCATCTCTGAGATCCCGAGCTCTATACAAGAGCTTTGGCTACTTACTTTGGAATTAAAGCAACGTATGTAATGTTGTGTAATATTTATTATTTTATTACTATGTTTTTAGGTATTGGATATGGTATCAGCAGCTCTGCAAATGCGCTCGCATTAAATACTTACTGGAAAAAGAGAAGAAGATTAGCAACGGGATTGTCATGGACGACCACAGGTCTTGGACCGATTTTATGGCCCCAGATATTTAAGTTTTTCTTATTCCCCACATTCGGTCCTAGGGGAACAACTCTATTTTTAAGTGGTTTTTCTCTACATTCCATTGCCTGTGCACTTCTCTTACAACCAGTAGAATGGCATTCAAAAAAGCCAAAGGAAAAAGAAGAAGAAATATTTTTGGAGCCTGATTGTAAAGAAAGTCGACTAACTAATGACAAAAAGAAAGAAAGTGGCTATTTCAGCCAAAAAATAAAAAATCTTAGTGCCTTTTCCAGTCAATATCTTTACAATGAAGATGATCCAGTAAATACAGGTTATGAAATCACAGACCCTGGAATCCCAATGATGGTTCGTGCCAACGATGCATATTTCAGTCAGTCGAGACAATCACTAAGAAGCAGGCTTCCGTCAAGAGAAGGATCGAACAGAAATTCTCGGTTAAACTCAAAGAAACCTTCTATGACAAATTTAACTGAAAATCGATCACGCAAATCGTCAACTTTGTACTTAAATGAATCTAAGAAAAACTCAACAGCTAATCTTGGAGCTTTAACGTTTGAACGAGATTCTGGTAAAAAACCAACTGTGACGAACTTACCTGAAAATAAATCTCGAAAATCGTCAACGATATATTTAAGTGAATCAAAAAAGAACTCCTCTGTTAACCTTGGAGCTTTAGCTCAAGAACGTGAAACATATAAACCGAAACGTAAAATATCTATCACTGATACACAAATCCCAGAATCTGAAATAGAAGATTGTCCGACACTTAAAGCACCACAAGATTTAAAAGCAGATGAAAAGGCAGTTTTAGAACAGATAGACCCAGAAAGGGAAAAACTAATTATTGACAGAGCTGAAAAACACCTAGCTAGTAGTAAAAGCGTAAAAACACTTAAATTGCCTGTAGAATCTCCGTACGGAGAACTTTACAACAGAAATAACCACAGCAACGTGTCGTATAAAAATTTCGACGACAACGAGGAAAGGAAGTATCTTAAAGACAACCACAGCAATCAATCATATCGCACAACAAGACAAAGAAGGAAATCTAACAATTTTAACTATGAAAGTGAAGTTTTAAAAGAGGCTTCGTTGAAGCTTGAGCAATACTTGAAAGAAAAAGATGAAGAGACCGACCAAAAACTTAAGTTATTAATCAGTACTGATTTAGACGATGACGTGTTTGAATACAGCGATGATAAAAAGCAAGATGAAAACCTAGATGACGAAGAAAAAGAAGAATTAACATTTTGCCAAAAAGTTGCATTGTTCTTTGATTTAGATTTGCTAAAAGATTTCACATTCATTAACCTGATGTTGGGCATAACTTTGGCGAATTTTAACGAACTCAATTTTTCTATTTTGACGCCTTTCATACTGGGCAGATTTAATTTGAGTCCATCAGAGATTTCGGACTTTATGTCAATACTAGGTGGAGTCGACGTTGGCGTACGGTTCTGCATACCGTTTATAGCTGGAAAAATCGGCTGGGACAACAACTCGTTCTTCCTTTTTGGAGTCATCTCTATGGCTATGGGGAGAGTAGGTATGTAAAACACTGTGCACCAATTGCGTTTACCTCTGTCAATCCAGGTAATACCTAATATTACTAGAGACAGATAGTGAGTACTTTCTATTAATATTATGTAATATATGCATTATCTCTTCACTTACTACAGTAACTTAACTTCTTAATAGTTTTTAAAAGAGAGGAAGATATGACTTATTGCTCGATATTCATTGAAAGAGAAAAAGTGGAACAAGTGAAAGAGTTAGTGTATTTGGGTTCTATGTTTAGGTGTGATGGAAGATATGAAAGTGACATTGAAAGGAGAGTGAACGCAATGAATCAGGTGAAAAGTGCGTTGCATGCCTTCATGGGCAGTCGGAAAGTGTCTAAAAAGGCACGACTGGCTGTGCGTGAGGGGGTGCTAGTTCCTACACTTATGTATGGTAGTGAACGTTGGGTTTGGCAGTAGAAATGAGAGCTTTGAGAAATATGGCTGGGGTGACCGATGGATAAATTACGGAACAGTGTGATAAAAGAGCTTTGCGGCGTGGAAGAAGATGTAGTGACAAATATAGTTAAAGGCATGGTTAGATAGTTCGGACACTTAGAGAGAATGAATGAAAAAAGATTTACGAAACAGATTAATAAGACGAGTGTGAGCGTGTATGAAAGCACAGATGCGTATTGATGAGGAGAAAAATGTATGTCAGGACCGTAGCAAGTGGAATACTGTTCTCTCTGCCTATCCCAATGGAAAAAAGGCGTGAGATGTCTATATATATACATACCTTATTTCTAAAGCGCTAACAATTTATGCAGATAAATACTTAAATGTTCTATACGTTTTCCTTTTCCAGTATTAACTTTCAGCCAGAGGTACTGGGTGGTGATGATAGTGGCGTGCTTGATTGGCTTCGGCAAGGGCCTGCGTACAGTTTTCATGGCACTGGTGATACCGACACATGTACCGCTTCATAAACTCCCTGGCGCCTCTGGTTTACAACTTCTGAGTGCTGGGATTGCTTATATTGCTCTTGGACCCGTTGTGGGTAAGATTAACTTTCGGCCCCATTTATCATGTCATAATTAATGGTCGGAAAAAGGTGCGCCACAAATATAAATACATGTATAGATAGATATAGCTACAAGGAGCGAAATAGAGTTTTTGAAACCACCAAATTAATTACTTTTTCTAATTCCGGATTTCCGGACGAAAGAAACTCCTCTCGTTATTCTATTTATGAAGATACATAGCCGTATATGGATACAGCCGTCAAAAATGGCACTTTTTCGTCAGGCGTTTAAGCGTCCAGCAGTTCTTTTTATAAAAAGTATTAAAATAATCTAGTGTGAACATTTTCCATTTAAAAAAGGTACGACATTTCTGCTAGTGGTTCGAATGTATGAACATCTGTTGTACTGTGTTTTTTAATTTAAATATTTATATCATGAAAATTAACATGTTAAAATTGTCGTAATTCTTTTTCTTAAGTTCTTCTAGCAAATGTCGTCATTCCATCAATGTGACTGTCAATATGCAGTATCTAAAGCTAGGGAGGGGCGGTGAATGACCATTCTCCTTACTTTTTTATTCTCTGTTTTGGTAAAAGTCAATTAGCTACTGCATTTTTTACATGGCACCATTAGCATTACTTTAAAATCCAACTTCCACTTCATACGTCGGTAGTTTTGTCCGATGTACGATGCAGTAAAACCATGTATTTCCGGAAATCCGGTAGCTATATCTATACATGTATCCTTAGAATAATAACGCATAGAATGATAGTTTCATATCAAATGAACTGTCACAAGTGAGGCAAAAATCAAATTCATGTAGGCTAGTTTTAGTAGTAGGTTAATTTTCGGTTTTAGTGAATATTTATATAAAAATACAAGTTGAAACGCGTTACTTCCTTGTGGAATGTGATGTTAGTATCTATTTTATGTTTGTATGACGTATTTTTACACTCATTTACCGCACATTTCGTCATTTTTAGCTAAAATTCTTGATCTGTTCGCGGTGCAAGTTGACCTTGAGCACTGAAGGCCTGCCCGCTCGTGTAGGCCCATTGGGAGCGCTCAATTTGCCTCACTTAGCGTGTGCGGACTAGGTTTCTATGCGTTATTATTCTAAGCATGTATCTATATATGTGGAATACCTTTTTCCGACCATTGCTCATAATAAAAGAAATGTTTAGCATGGACGCGAGGCAAGTGTGGTCCAATTCTTATACTCCTTTTCCTTCAGTATTGTTTAGTGTTTACAATTGCAATTATTTGGTTTCTTATACCTTGATAACTCGAGGGAAGTCTTTGAAGAAAATGGCATTATTATAGCAAACTAACCAGACTCTAGTTTACTTAAGCAATTTTACTTAGCTTAGCAAGTATTACTAACTAGTGACAGTCCAAAATTATGGAGTCGTTTCAAATGAAATGAAATCAAATCAAGTGCTTTATTGCGTATCAAGTTGTACAAATCTAGTTGTTAAAATGTTGTCACGAACCAAACATGAACCCTGCAAGGGCTTTGCAATCCTAAAATTAAATTAATTTATTTACAAGCAAAAAGCATATAAAATTGATCCATATTAAAAGTTTGTTTGTCATTCATTTAATTATTTTTGCGTGCAAACAAACGCTTTACGTATGATTATGATAATAGAACATTTCAACCTCTGTACGACCGATAGCTGGGCATGAGTCTTCTAGAAACGACTTACTTAAAAGATACTTTACAACTACTTGTTTATTCCTTTTACTTATTTTATACATTTTTATTTAATATATTTTATACATTTTGAAAAAAGTATATAAAGTAGAGACGTTTGAACTCCATAGAATTATGTATCGTAATTCAATATGTACCTAATCAAGTACATAGACTTATTCAGCGTGTACCAAATCGAGTACTCCTGTTTTCAGCTGGTCCTTGTCATTATTAACAAACATCTTTACCAAAAATATAATCTTAAAAACATTTTAGTACCCATACAAGTGCGATGAACCCGTAGTTTGTTTCCGTAGGTTGGATCTACGAGAGTGCAAGAACAGAAGTAACCCTTCATTGTTTGAACATTTTCACTTGGCTCACAGCTTTATCGTGGGGTCTGGAGAAGTACATCAGGGCAAAAACACGAAACGAATCTAAAGAAGAGCTGGTTGCTGCGTAATCATATATTAATTTGATATTATAATTTCTTATTGACAATTTTTAGAAGTACTATAGGATATGTGATTTATATTTATAAAAGCCATAGATTTATTTAAAATAATCTTATTTTTAGTATAGTGTTCCTATTTTTCCACTAATGGATGTGTTAATTTAGAAATAAACCCGACTCTAAAAAATCCACATTGTAATAAACGTACAATTAGTTGCTAAACACGTAGATATTAAATATTACTTAACTTTAATAACAATGCATAGAACTAGGCACTATCACGAGCACGAGATAATAAATAATGCACGTCATAAAAACGTAATGCCAAAGCCGTTAAAACTCTACAAACAATTTTTTTTTAATTCTCTTGAACTAAAATTCGAGCAATTCACCATAATTTAAATTATGAACAAAGGAAGCTAATTGCGGCTGGGACAGAACAAAATAAAGAGTGGGCGCACATACACTACAAAGGCAAAATAGGCAAGGAAATACCAAACCTTTGTACTTACAAATTCAGTATACTTCTACTTAATTATCATGTAATACCTACATAACACTAATATTTTATTTTTAAATGACTAATAAACATTGATATTGCACTTCCGTATTTACTACCAAATTGTGTCCTTCCATTCTACTTTCATCCCTTTGTGATGTAGCAAAAATAAGAAGGGTGATCTTAGACAAAAAAAAACCGTCCCCCCAGAGACCGTGCCGTGTTTATTCAATAATACTAACGATTAAACCGGTACCAAGTAGGTAAGTGTGCGTCATGTCAGTATAGTGGCCCACGCTGCGCGAACGCATCTCGTCGCATAACTTCGTGTTTTAATTTTGTTTTACAACGCTTGTGTTTGTTTACTCTGATTTGTTACGGTGTACAAGTTGAAAGTTACTTAGTTGGAAGTTGGGATAAGCAGGGTAATTATTAAAATAGAGCAACAGACAAGAGTTTGACCTCGATTAGTAATTAATTCAAAATTGAATTGCATTTTTAGTCAGAAACTCAATACCAAAGGCGTGCTTACAATGCGCCTGGTCGTATTGAAGCAGCAAATAAACGTTATAAAACTATTGCTTATAAAATATTAAAAGGCGCTCGTGAAGATTATGTGTAAAGAAGAGCAGCTTTCATAAACGAATAATAGCGTAGTTTTTCTTGGTTTGAATCCATTATAGCATCATAATTTGCACCATTTACACACTGTAGCCATTGTTTTAATGCCATCCGCCAATAATATAAATAATTACCTTGACATTGAGTGATTTAATCATTATTGTAAATGTAAGTAGTGTGTCTCGTCGCTTAATCCCAAATAAGTAAGTAATCGTTTTTGTAATAACTGATCGTAGGTAGATACTTCGATAATGTGTTGCGTGACCGGATTATACTCGATTAAAACCAATTGATTATTATCGTGTTAATATTATAATAATTACTGAACTCTAGAATAACTAAAGAAAACTAATTATTCAATCGTTCTTACATAGTCAACAGAATAATAGAAATAAAGCAAACTGGAGTTATGTTAATGATTCATCTTCAATCCTATCAAACACATAGCATCTTGAAATACTAATTTAGCGTCTAATTTAACGACTGACAAAAGAGTAACCCTGCATTTTATAAAACCTTTACACAAAATGTGCTTATCGTTAATATTGGGCAACGTGACATCAAACTATGACTCCAATCGTAATAATTATACTAATTATAGTAGCAGCAGCTCCACAAGATGTTTACTAACCTGCTTATCACTGCACAATACGTATTTAATTTAAGCTAACGACTGATTGAGTTATCTCGAATATGCCATTCAACTCACGATTGTCTACACCAGTATTTCGTATTTCATTTAATTAAGAAAATCAATCGAAAGTTTTCTGTAACAACACGTTTGCTTCTTAATCAAACTAAGTGTTTTCGCCATCAAACGAAATTGTCAAATTTATGCAACAGGTGTAATTTTTTGTTGTATACCAGCAAGGAGTTACTCCAAAACCTACACGAAATAAATTGATTTGGTTATGACCGCCCGGGAGAGGCGCGGGGCTATGTATTATCTGGACTCTACTCTCTATAAGTAGAGAGGCCTATCCACTAAAACACCGGGGGTGTTCCTCCATGTACCTTGTGGCGAGAACCCGGGGACGCTGCCGCATTCTTCCACAAGCCCACCGGTGCCGTCCATTTGCACGGACCCTCCCAGAGTCCAGTGTGAGAATAGCTCTTCATCCTGTTCTTTTAATCGCAGTGGACTGCCTGGCAGCTAACCTAACCTAGCGAATGTAGGACACTAGTTAAAAAGCGGTATGACGGGTCACACAGATGGCAATGACCGATAATAGGAAGTACTCTATGGAATAAACGGATTCGAAATATAGACCTAGAGACCAACTAGTTACCTCGCAATTTTACGATAGTGAAAACAGCTCAGAGTATGCCAAAAGAGACAAAGTATTGTCCGAAGGTGAGACACATTTCTAAAGTGAAATGTCGTATAATTTAAGTACCTACATAAATTTGCTCACACCAACTTATCGGGTTGACACGAACAGACGTGGACTAAATAATACCGAACGGGAGAATTATTTGTACTATCCTTGATAACAATAATAAAATTATAAAGATAACGAATGTTCGAACGGCAGCTTATTATCTCATTTGTTACTTATGCACAATAGGTGCGGAAAGTCTGTTGACTAGTTGGATCTGTATAGAGGCAATATATTCTCCGTTTGTACAATAGCTCAGTGATAACATGTGTCTGTGCAACAACAGAATGTGAACAACATGTGTTTTAGTAAAACAATAGTTGATATAATAATAGCAGATTGCAGTGACGATTTGGTAATAGTGACAATGAAACTTATGTAAGTGCTGGAAGTGGTACAATGACTATTAACAAAGTACCACCTGATGGAGGGTACGGATGGGTTGTTACCTTCGCCTACGCTCTTAACAATGTGAGTATACTATTTTCTTTAAATAGCAAAGACTTACAACAGTATTAAAAATGACGTGGGCTATAAAACTTCTGTTACAAAACCCAAACACGATATGTAATTTTAAAATGAACGTGTTAAACTGGTTAATTCGCATGATGAATGCCGGTCGCTTCGCTTGGTTATATTTATGTTTCAGATAAAAAACACATTGCGTTTATTTTTAATAGAACATAAATTAGCAAACTAAACGTATACCGTAATGCAAATTATTCATAGCGTCCATTATGATAGCGTCAGACTAATACAGTCATGACACCAATGACTTTTTCCATATTTATTTTAATTATTCATATTAGTAATAAATTTTCGAATGTAAAATGTTTAATAATATTGACTATGCTAGATACCTCGATCATTGACCCATTTTGACGACGAACGCATCTGTATATACATATATGTAAATATAGGTACATTATACCCAAGTCGAACACTATTAAACATTCATTCAGAACGAACTTTGCAACCTTCAAAATGTACGAGTATATTTGTTCGTACCTTTGTGTTACATTGTCTTATGTGTCGGTGTTAAGCGTTATATAAATATAAATAACCTTAATTTAAATATTTACTTTAAAAGTTAAATAAACGAAATAATAGTTCACATGTAAACTAAATGTCTTCTATTATGTTACGATACTGATAAATGTCGAGATTTAAATAAATATATTTTATTTTATATTTATTCTTGATATCTTTTTGGGTTACATAAATATTTTAACAATAATCCACAGATACGTCATTGCCTTACGCATACATATTTCATGTAAACTATTTTGTAATTTTCTTTAGGTGGTAGTACTACCTCTGATTGCTGGCTTTGGACTGGTCTTTCAAGAAGCCTTTGCCGACACAGGCTTATCTGCAACCCAAGGCACCCTTGTCATCACTCTGAACCATGGCTTCGGAATGTTACTTTCCTTCTTCGGAGGTCCAGTACTCCGAAGATTCGGTTATAGAAAAGTGGCCGTCGTTGGAGCTATATTCGTTGCTGGTGGCCTTATATTGACATCAGTGGCATCCAGTTTTTGGATGTTCCTTTTTTCATATAGTATTATCAATTGTAAGTATTTGAGGTTGTAATTCATATAAAAATGTCTGATGAGTGGAAAGGCTGTATAATGTATCATATAAATATTTTTAAACTAACGCTCATTTAATATAAAATTATATTCTATAATATCATTTTTGATAACAATAAATTGCCATTATACTTATTTTAAATAACAATTTTGCTATAAGTTATAAACCATATTTTTTACTTACGGTTTACACTGAAATAAATATGACATAAAACATGTTCGAAAACGCAAACAAATAATAATAAAAAAAAGGCGCGTATATCACAGATACTGGGTAAAAACCTCGTAAAAATTATTTGAATTTAAAATTATTGTTATATAAAAAGGACTTTATAACAACATATTTTAAAGTTCTTTTTATATAACATATAATTCTCTTAATTACAAATAACAATTATATGCAAATAAGTTATAGGAAGTGAATTTAATCAAAGTGAAAATTATATTAAATAAGCATTATATCTATTAAAATTAATTTATTTGATCGATTGATGAGTTTATCACACAAAATAATGAAGCACAATTTTCTTTTTTACAGCTATAGGAATAGCTGCAGTCATGGCAGCATTTACTTTAGCCATTAATTCATTTTTCAAAGAGAAGAGAGGGAGGGCTATCGGAGCAGGAATGTCTATCACAGGGCTAGGCGCCATTGGTATGCCTCTTGTAATGAGCGCCCTTATGAGTGCCTATGGTTGGAGATATGCCGTCCTCATCTTAGGCGCCATCTGTCTTCATTCTCTAGTAGCAGCATGTTTACTTAGACCAGCAAAATGGTACTTAAAAAATCAACCAACTTTAGAAGAAATGGAACCATTGAACAAACAAACTAGTATAGAATTAATAAATGGCACTATTACTACTCCATTGAAAGAGAACGGTATGCATATATTGCTTACATTATGTTCTAATTGATTTAGTAATTGAATAACGTAATAATAAAGTTAATGTTATTTCATTTTCAGGTGTTTCTTTACCCCAAGTCGAAGAATCTATAGAAAACAGGGCACCTCCGCCAAAAAGTATATCAATGAGATCTCTTTCATTCAATACAAGTCTCGAACCGAGAAACGCGATCTCACATCCTGATTTACGGAACAAATATGCCGAACCGCCAGTTTCCGAGTCTCGATATAGATGGTGGGAATCTCAAGAAATTAACTTAGGCAGCTCTATCAATATATTTCTTGAAAATGAAACGAGAAAACTAGAGGTCAATGATAAAGAATTGACATCTGGGGAGAAGAAGAAAAAAAGTTTCGGGAGAAAAATTGTCGACTTCTTCGACTTAACACTTCTTACCGATCCTGTTTTTGTAAATATTTTATGTGGTTTATCGCTGGCCGCATGTGTTGAAACTAATTTCTCACTTTTGTTGCCAATCATACTGAGAGATATGATGCAATTCCCTACAAGTGAAATTGCTATAGTAATGGCGGTCATTGGACTCACGGATACATTGTTCAGATTCGTGTCCCCTTTTATCGGAGAGTGGTGCAAAAAGTCTCCGAGAATGATGTACATGACCAGTTTGCTACTCATTGTCTTTATTAGGACTAGTAAGTTATTATCGAACTTCTAACTAATTCAGTTAATAGAGAAAGTCATTAACCAGTTAAGATGATTATACACTTAGCACCTAGATTCCACTGATCTATTTTTAGGATCCGATTAGGAAATTTAAAGTACGTGAATCAATTTCTAATGTTACAGTCTATTGCTACCTCCCAATATAGGCCACTGGGGTGTTTGTACGGTTCATATACTTGGAAGAGTAATGACCCCACTGACGTTGATAACTATTGTAAACTCATACATTAAGTTGCTATACACGTGCACATAAAATCGTTTTTGAGGTTCATGTTAAAATGTGTTTCTTGTTTGGTAACAGTACTTTGATGGATGTCTTTTTTATACTTACAGTAATGCTGTTTACGTCATCATTTACTGGTATGATCATCATTGCCTTGGCGATGGGAGTTACCAAGGGAGCCAGGACTGTATACATGAACATTGTAATACCTAGCTATGTGCCAATAGAGCGTCTTGCGTTTGCGTCTGGTATACAAATGTTCTTTAATGGCATCACTATAATCACTATTGGATCTCTTCTGGGTAATTATGCTCAAGGATAATTATACACAGCGAGATTTTCTTATCTCAATTTTCACGTTTAAATACTTCAATGGACAATCTCACATTTCTTCATAGTAATGATTTGGATAATTATTACAATTTCGTACGTCGATTATTTTGATATAAATATTACATAAGAGATATATTTTAAAGTTCAAAACCCTTATTACACCCCTTCTGTCTATAGTAATAGGATTGAAAAACATAATTAGCCTTACATTCTTAAAATTTTATAATAAAACGAAAACTACAAAACTCCACGTGAAAATAGCTTAAATTTATGGATCTCAGTAATTGCCGTTGACAAATTTATTCTTATCGTTTTTCAGGACGCATTCGAGAGGCATCTGGGTCGTACCAACTGCCTATAATCGTCCTCAACGCTGTTACAATGGTAACAGTCTTCCTTTGGACCGCAGAATTTACATACTTCAGGATGAAGAATAAAAACAAGAAAATTACGACTGAAGCTTAATGTTACTAATGATACATGTAATGTTTATGATCGTAGAGGAAGTTAAAGTGTCGATCGCACCAAGTAATTTTAACTCACTAGAATAGCGTGTCTCGACTGGAGTACTGTCTTCCTTTTTAAGACCTATCCGTAAATATCTGGCGATACGTGAGGACGAACATCAGTGTCAGTGAAAAGTAATATTGCTCCATATATTTTATACGAAGCTATCCGACTGTCGGCGTCAGTAACGTTAAATGACGTCAGTATAGAGGCCTATCCACACCTATCAGTGCCGACACATAATGGTCAGTATCGTGAATACCAGTGAAAAATTAAATTGTTGCATAAATTTTGTATGAAGTTTTCCATATTGAAGTGTCAGTAACGTCAGGTTGACCCGACGCGAATTTCTAGCTGATAATATTTTCATTGACGGCACGGATGTCATATGTGACTGCGATACTACAAGTGCCAAAATTAACCAGCAATCAGCAGTTGCGTTGATATGTGTGGATGGGCCCTTATGTGGCACATAAAACTTCCTCCGACATTGCAAACTTACGTAACTAATGGATATTTACAAAATAATCTGATAACATTCGATATGAAATACGTGGTACATGTAATATATTTATTGTACTGCAAAAGAACTGATAATTCGTGTATGTTATTTTGGAGACGATTATTTAATTGATTAAATCAGACTTATTATAGTTTTGCGAATGAACTTAAAAGATGACATAGGCAGCAACGTTTCTTATTTCACTATTGTATTACCTACGTCACCATGTTAAGAAAAAACAGCAGTGAGAATTATTTTATTACCTTTATTTACAGTCAGTGTTACATACTATTTACAATTTTATATAGAACTCTTAGCATTTGTAAATACAAGGTGTCAGAAGGTAATTATAAAGGTACAAAACTTAAAATTAATATTATAGTGAACAAAAAAGTTATTGATTTGGCAAATATATAATAAAGTCCTACTTTGGTTCACTTATTTTCATGATCAAATTAAAAAGAACACTCAGGGTATGGTTTTCTTCTTAATTTGCTCGGGTTTCCTTTTATTCAAGGTTAATCTTAAACGAAAGTCTCATAGTTCTAATTCACAAATCTGTCATATTCACCAAGACACACTTGTTTATAAAATATAGTTTGGCAAATTTGTTTTTCACTAATATAAGTTTTTATTTAGGCACTTCACGTTATATCCTTAGCACTTTACGTCCCTTCTGTCTCAGGAGGATCTGCAGTCGTTGTGTTTGCTGTATCCTGTAATACATATTTATTTATTAACGCAACGCTGAGTGTAGTCATTTATGCTACAAGGTAATAATTATAAACATGCTTATTATTATCACTTGTCATGAACATAGGCTTTTCCAACTTAATGGTATTTGTAACAACTACGCAAATTGTAATAAACAATTTCAACAATCAGGTAAATATTAAACACCCGACTCGGAGGAAATTATGCTGATCATTTCTGATATTACGGTCATTATAGAGCTACAAAGTATATCATTGCTCAGGTTATTGAATGACCTTAGAATTGACAGTAAGTATTTCATAAATTATTGGTTTTTTTTGCAGTTCATAAAGGTTAAAACCAAATAATTGATGCGTTCGTTGCGCCTAGCAAAAACGTAAACAACGATAATTGTTCATTATTTTTATATCGACTTATTGTTTCTGTATTTATCGGAGTATAAGTATGACGAGTTATTTTGTGTTATAAAAGGGATATTATACGGGCAAAATATGCAGCTGTAATCACTAATCACACAAAGACACATTTCACCTTATTCAACATAAACAATGTTATGTTTTGTAAGTTGGTTAAAACCGTAATACCAGATAACGTAAAAATCAACCCTAGACGATAACACGTATCATATTTTTTTACATCATATACTTTAAAATCAATAAGGATGTAGTTATAGTTTGTGCATAAAAGAGTACAGTTTAACAAGTGCAATATACGAGTATGTACAGTGTGCATATGTGTGCGTTGCAGCTACAATTAAATTTATACTATCAAATACCGTGCTATATGTGTTATAAATTAGTAATAAGAACCTCTTCCGTGTTAGGTACATTAGTCTCCTCAGTGTGACTGTTAGTGGTAGTACTTTGTTCCGGACCTCCTGATAATGTTGTAGTGTTGTTCTGTTGATTCTCCAGTTCGTTTACTGAAAGCAAAATTATTAAAAATAAACTTCTAATTCTATAGATAGTACGTTTGCTTGTTTGAACGATCAAATACTTACTGCTCTGATACCAACTTCTAGAGAAAGCAAACGAAGAATCAGATTTCAGGGACTCAGTCTTGCCACTTCCGGTCCCCGTAAAACCAAATGACGGTCGATGTGGAAATCTTGGAGACTTAAATGGCAAACTGTCCGACGCAGTAACATCATTATCCAAGCCCGTTTTCTTTGATTCAAAATCAACAGAGTACCATTCGTTTGGCTTGTCAATGCCTGGAGATGCTTCTCGCCAAGGTTTTGCTGTTACTACATAAACTTTTTCCTTTGTCAACGGCGATATCGAAGTCTGTAGTTTACCCCACGGTGCTGGTGTAGTAGTTGTACTCCTAAAAGATGAGGCTGCTGTGTAAATATAAGGTTTCTTGATTTCCTCTTCATTTTTAGCACTATTATGTTTTGTTTTAGTTCGCTCAATATTATTATACTCTTTGAGAGATTTGCTAAATGTTCTGTTTCGATCGTCAATCACGGCATGTTTGATGCTACTGGATCCTACATGGTCGTAAAAATCATAGTTGGTTGGGGCTATTACGAAGGATGTTATAGGATTCGTAGTAGTTAAATATTCGTCTGGAATCTGTTTAGCATATTTTACACTTGGACGTCTTCTATCGGGTGTTTGGAAATGCTTTGAATATTCTTGCTCTGTCCAGTCATCGATAGTGTGTTGTAATTTTATAATATCAAACGGAGGCTCTTTCACATCATACAAATCGTTTAAAATAGAGTGAGTATTTAATCTATCTGAATCATAATTTTGAGTCACTGGTGGTTCTTCCGTGTTGTAACTTTCTGTCACAGTACTAAAGTGCAAATTTTCAGTATTGGACGGAACTTTTCTAGCTTGATATTCGTCTTCCGGGGCAGACGTCCAATGGTCAGGAACTTGATTGAAATCTACATTGTTTTGGCCACCATTTTGACCCGTGGTGTATGGAACAATAATCTGGACGATCTTTGGTTTAGTTTCTTTTTCTTGTGATACAGGTGGCGGGAATAAAGTTTCGCTATAATCATTGCGACTTTCATCCCAAGCACTAGGAATAGTTGATACCTGAGGAGCTGTAGTCGTTGGTACTTCATCATAAAGTTCATAGTCGTTGTCACTGCCTGGTGTTGATAATGTAACAAAGTTTTCAAAGTCTTTATGTGGGGCACTGGGTTTTAAATACAACAATGGAGAATCTATATTCTGTAAATTATTCTCGATTCGATATTTATCTACATCTTCATCTTTGACTCCTCTTAAGTCAGCAAAGCCAGTTTTGTGATTAGAAGGGATGTTATAGTTTTGTCTCAGACCGGAAGGTAAACCATTATCATACAAATCGTTTCCATATTCGGCGCCGGTGCTCTCAAAACTTGCTTCTTGATTTGATTTAGTAGCCGCAATATGATCTTCGGAAGCTTGTGATGATACGTCGCGAACATCATCGACTGTAAAATGGTTCGGTATATTTCGATACGCTTTACTTTGATTTTGTTTCGTTTCACCAATATCAATTATAGTTGATTTTATAAAAGACGGTGGATAGTCGATAGAATGTGTGAATTCCGCAAGAGGAACACTTTGGTCTATGTTCACATTGTTTGTATTTTGCTGCATTAAGTTTATTCCCTTAACTACGTTCTTCGAAAATGATTGTCCTATAATTGGTCTAAATGGTCGCGCATTGAATATTGGTGGTAAAGGAGATACACTGAGATTTGGTAATGCAACAGGTTGTAAAGTATGAATGTTTCTTCCTCGACTAAATGGTGCTGGATTAGCTAATGCCAAAGACATATTCGGCGTTGCTGACTTTTTGCCATCGTTGGGCAACACTTCTGTCTTTACTTTATTTGATTCTGCTGCTGTCGCTGAGCCAGGATACGATATATCTATAGAGTAAGTATTTGTTATGGGCTCTCCGTACGAATTTCTGAATCCTGTAGGTTGATTTACTTTGGGTAATTGCAATTCATTCGATAATTCTGTATCTTTGAAAACGTCAACATCACTCTGAGGTGGTAAATTTTTGTTTATTAACGTTGGTTCATAATTTGATGTGATAGGTGTGAAACTGTTGGTCACAGGACGAGGTATTTCGTAATTTGGGGCCGGTGTAGCGTATATAGATGTTGGGGATCCATAAGTTGAACTGGGTACGCCGTATGTTGAGCTAAGAGCGCCAAATGATGAACTGGGTTGACCGATTGTTGTTGTACTCGGTAGCCCATACGACGAACTAGGTACCCCATATGAAGAACTTGGAGGAGTATACGTGTTTTCTGCAGTGAATGGTGAACTGAGTGGACTTTGTGATGGCACCGCAATAGTATGTGTCGGGCTAGGCGGTCCGTACGTTGAACTTGGGCTGACAAATGAGCTTGTCTGTGGTGGTCCGTAAACAGCATGTGGAACACCCGGTGACAATTGAGGAGGCTTAAATTGCTCAAAAGGTTGAGGCTTGAATTGGTGAATAAAGTTCGGCGCATATGCCGTGGGACTTGGTGGGCCGTAAGTCGGGAACAGGGTTTGATGCTGTACATTTTTAGCTCCTAAATTATATCTTATTACTGGTATCCATGGCACTAAATTACAAGGGTTGCAGTCCTTTTTCACCGGGGCTATGCTATTCGTATTATACACTGAAGGTTCGTAGCTCGTTTGCTGAGACGGGAACAGCCACCCGGACACTTTTTGAAACAAAGAGGGAGATGGAGTCGTCGTAAAAGGTTGAGGTGGTGGTACAAAGTTAAAGTTATATTGTTTGTAAAACGGTGCAGGAAATTTGAAATCCTGTGAAGGAGGTGGGGGAGGCGGAGGTGGTGGAGGCTGGTAAACATATCCCACGTCCACATTTTGCCTTTGCAATCTCGATGCCCCTCCATGAAATGGCACGGGAATTATATTCGCTAGCGGCGGTGGCGGTGGTTTCAGCAGCTCGCCGAATTGTGAAGGCGTTTTCGCTTTTGAGTAGGGCAAATTGGTTGGCTCGCATCTACATCTTGCTATGAGAGCGATGAGTAGGACCCGGAATATCTGCAAAGAAAAATATAACTGTGAGTCTTGTGCTTGACTGAAATTTCTCATCGGTAGTACATAATATAACGTCTAATAAGAACATCTTAGCGTTCATTTCATAATTAGTTAGAAAATATAGAGAAACACGCGCCGTGACATATCGGAGGCATTGTGGCTGCTTCCCACGAACTGCCATTCTTTGCACTTTTCTCTTTTCTCATAGTACACCAATGAACGCGATCAGAATATGCTACTTTTTGAATCTAATTAACATCTAGATTGGATTCTACGTCTTAATCAAGGAACAATCCGACCGATATTAGAATAAAATGGAAAGGAATACTAATGTCTGTAGTCTAAGGAAATGTGGAAATGACAGTATAATGGGATTAGATTAGTGAGAACCATTCGTGGTTTTCTCTGATCACGTGCTTCAATATACTGGGTGGAAAAAATCAATTAAAAAGAGAATTTAAAAAAATACCTTAAATGTTTAAGATAGCTAATTTTACCCAAAGGAGACATTCCTTTATTTTCTTTATATGAATAACTGCATTCCCAGATCGAGTTCATAGATTTTCGCGATTATTATACACAGGAAATGAATCTATTTTTCGTATGTATATCGCGCATAGTTTCATTTCCTATGTGTATTCACAGATTTTTTAAACGTTTACCTGAGTCGGGAAATGAGCCAACTAAAGTGTAAAAATAAGCACTCAAAATTTTATTGTACTAATCGATATAATATCTACTATTAGGTACTGTCGACTCTAACACAAAAACCACGTACATTAACCAATAATATCTACTATTAGGTACTGTCGACTTTAACACAAGTACATTAACCACTAAACTTGCTAATTATAACCTTTTGCAACCTATAAAGACGGTATTTATTTTTTGCACTTTTAGCTAGTTTAATTCCCGGTTCATAAGCTTTTAAAAAAATCTGTGAATGCAATTAGGTATTTATGTGAATAAAAAATAAAAAATGTTATCTTTAAGTAAAATTAATATGTCAAGTATTTAAGGTAATTTCCCTTCATGACATTGATTTTTTTCACCCTGTGTACACGTAGACTCGAAAGTCAAAGTCCGTGGTTTTTGTATTAGACCCGTCGTCCATTTATTTGTAAGTCAATGTAAAAAAACCTAAATTTATTGTGCGTGACACACTGAACTACCAGTGATTAAAATAATCACGTGACAACAGGACCGTTATACCACGGTATGCAATTCATGAACTTTGCGTGTCAGATACCAATTTTTTTTAAACACTTACTGATGGATCAAATGTTTTTGAGGTAGACCACTATTTTAGAAACCATTTTGTCTATTAAATAATTATGCTAACATTATTTGCAATGAAAATAAAAATTTTAACTTTGCCATTTATACGCATACTAACTAGCACACGTGAAATCACTAAAGCTGTTTACGTAATTAATTAACATAATCATCAAGTGTGGGACACAACCTGTGTGGACACTGTAGCCCCGTATAGATTTTTGTTTTGGTAACAAAGTATTGGGACTATAATGTAAGCAACAGTCACCACCACCTTTTGCGGTTGAAACCCTGGGTCCCTGGGGGTCACAGGCGAAACTTCCAGTGAACGACCTGTCAGATCGCCTCGTAGAAGCCTGCGATGACCACAAGCCTGGCAGCTATTTCCGTCAAAGAATAATTTAGCTATTCAAAGAGGAAATGTTGCTATACATGCAGCCGTAGACGCATACCACACCTAGAGGTGCCGGTGATGATTTTATACCGATTTATCGGATATCGAAGTTATAACAGGTAAAAGAACTAATATTAATAGCTATTTCGGTAACTACTCTAGCAAACTTTTAATGCCTGGGTCTGTCATTTAACAAAAATAAACAACTTCAAAAATACGTCACGACAATCGTGTGTGTTATGTTTGGGCTGGTGATTTCGGTATTTATTTATTGAAAACATACCTTAAGTAGCGTTTTTTAAGTTTGCCCTGAATATAAATGTTTATAAACTATACTTTAAGGAGTAATTTCATGGTAAACGTTAGAACCACTCAAACGGAATATTATCATATTTATCCAAGTACACCAAAAATTTCATTAGTGCTTTTTAAGTGTAGGATTTGCGGTGTATTACTGCATTTTATTTGAGATTTTTTTGTTGGTAGTACGGAGGGTATTTATTTAGCAATGCAGAATAATAATTTTTATTTATAAAAACTTGTATTTAAAGTGAATGCTTTTCTAATTTGCGAAACCAAATAGCCGCCATTTTGCGGTAGGAGGAGCGCATCGCGTGAGCGGATATTCTTCTGGGCACGATACTTATAAACTTTCAAATACTATATTATATTATATTTATAAAAGAACTTAAATATTTTTTTTTAATTGTCATACATAAGAACGAGAAAGAAAGCATTATTTTAAACTTGGACTTATTCCCCATGACGTAATGTGTACTTCGTTTGTAATGTCGTCACATCTAGATTCGAAAGTATAATGCATAGACCATGATTTGGCAGCAAACTAACATACTGACAATCAATTCTGTATTCGTACTACGCTCGAGTTTCGAAACGTATGTTATAGGTATCTTGCGGGTGCTCGACATTTAAATAAATACGTGTAGAAAAGTGAAAATGTCTCTGAATACGTAATTGTTTTCCAGTCACGCGAAGACGTAAAATTGCTTAAATTCATTCATTTATTCCATTATATCTAACTTACCAAAAATTGTAACAAGCTACTCACTCGCAGAGCACGTTGAATTCGTAATTATTTAGATACTTCTGAAAACACGTTAGACATCCAAACATATTGAAGGTATTCGTGTGTTAGAATACATTTAGACTAAACTACATGTATTGTAATAAAATGGCGTGCACACATAAGTCTCATCTAATAAGACAGTTATTAACTTAAACGCGGTGACTGTTATTTTGGTAAACTTCATTGATAATAATGTTAAAATGTTACTAGATTTCTAAATGATAATCATTTGAATAACCTCAGAATAAATATTCAAATGTCGACAATATCAGTAGCGCACAAATCTCACCCCTCATGGAAGAACGGCATAAGTGCAGTTAGGTCAAAAATGTTTATTGCTCCATTGGATACAGAACAATATAACCCACATCCTTCCCATTTCCTCTAACTCTGTCGACAATATTAATCGAGTTACAAGAATTGCACAGGATGTAAATTATATTTTTCTGTATCCATTGTAGCAATAAACATTTTTAACGTTACTTATACCATTCTTGGACAAGGTGCGATAATGTCAAAAATTATTTTTTAGCCATTGAAGTTAGAGATTTGTCATTTAAAATTAATAATAATAATAATAACGCACACACTCAACATAGCCCCGCACTAGGGAAACCCTGTGTCGCGGGTGCCATGGACACACACATAGACAACCACAAATTACACCCAAACTCACGAGAGAAATAAATGTAGGTCATACAAATATTTCTCCCGGCCCGGGAATCGAACCTGGGACCTCTGCGTGGCAGTCCGGCATGGTAACCGTTCGGCCACGGAGGCAGTTAAAATTGTAGACACTTTATAGTACAGTTTATTAGTTGATAAGATTTTTTTGCATGGTGTTAAGCGACACGCCAGATCATGGCAGGGCGTGGCAGTGCAACCCAGAGCTTTAAATCGCAAAGATCTGGATCTGGAAAGGACTCTACCATTGCGCCTGTCGCCATGAGTCGTAAGTTCAAAAGTCCCATGTGACTGTAATCTCACCAATACTCTTACCCTTCAAAACCGGAACACAGTAATGCTCGCATTACTGCTTAGGGGCAGAAATAAGTAAGGTAAGTACCCTCGATGAACTCTTTCATGAGGAAGATTTATTGCTACTGTTCGGCTACTGGTTGTTCCCGTGTTCTTATTCGCATTAAAGTTTTCGATAGCTTCAATGATTTTATGTACACAAAAATAAGATAGTTGAGTAGGTTAATAATATTTATATATTTATATAGTAAATAACGCAACATATTTATATATTAAACAAGCTCATTTTTAATTTGCTTTTCGGAGCGTTCTTACGACTCAATATTTATAAATAGGGATGGGAAAAACTGCTTATTTTTTGAAACGTTAAAACCTTATTCATTTTTTAAAAAGCGTGTTTTTTTTTAAACTTTTTTATAGTTTGAATCTTACAAAATCGTTTAGAAAAACGTAGCGCATGGACATTTATGTTAAAAAAACGTATTTACTTTTTTTTTATTTACGTGTTAATAGCGAAAAGCAAGAGTAAAGGTTATAAGATAAATAAGTTTATTTGTAAAACACTTATTTTTGATTTATGTAATTATTATTCACATTGACGAATTAATTTGTTTAGGAAACATAGATGGCGGGCCTTGAAACATGACGTACGTTGTAATAAAATGAAATTGTTGAGTATTGAAGTGACCAACGCTTCCGCTTAAATTGAAAAGCATGCTTATATGCTTATTTTAAAAAGCAACTTTCCGTCCTTCCTTTCTTTGCCGTTTAAACGCTTACCTCTATTTATAAACCAAAACTTGAGCGATCGTTTTTGCTAAACGCCGATATAGGAAAGGTTCTCATAATATGAAGGCTAATTACAAACGTACTAAGTGATAACTGAACAGATATGTGACATGCGAATCGAAGCCTTATGCTATTTAAAAAGGAATTTAAATAACTTATTTTATTTATTTTAACAGTACTAGTAGAGCTCCTTGTGAAAGAGTTCGTTTAGGGAGGAAATACTGACAGTATAATAAATGTATATACTGGTAGTAATAATAAATATAAATAAAATAAGTTGTTAAATTCTTCTTTAAATAGCATAAGATTTCCCAACACTATTAATTTTTATTTGATTTATTTATTGCACAGGAAAAAGCACAGATTACATTTAATAAAAGGTAAACACAAACAAAAGGTCGGTAGGCTAATTATTTTTATAAGAAATTTCTTCCTGCAGACCTAAATACAGGACAAAATAAATACAATAACGGGCTTCAA